GGGGATCTAGTGGCCTGTTACAAACTAGTCATGGGGGACCAGCAGGCACTGGGGGAGTCCCTGTTCCCCCGAGCACTACCAGGAGTGACTAGAAATAACGGTCACAAGCTGGCAGAGGGTAGATTTAGGCTAGATATCAGGAGACGCTACTTCTCGGTCAGGGTGGGTAGGATCTGGAACCAACTTCCAAGAGAAGTGGTGCTGGCTCCTACCCTGGAGGTCTTGAAGAGGAGGCTAGATGTACACCTTGCTGGGGTTGTTTGACCCCAGTACTCTTTCCTGCCATGGCAGGGGGTCGGACTCGATGATCTGCTCAGGTCCCTTCCGACCCTACAAACTATGAAACTATGAAATTTAATAGTTTGAGGTCATGCACTTAGATACTAGCAGCAAGATAAGGTAGGAACCTATTGAGAAATGACAGAAAAAGAGGAAGACCTATGTGTTTTGATCAATTACAAGATGACTGTGAGCCATCAATGTGATAAATGTATGAAAAATGCAAATGCAATCCTATGATGTATCAGGAGAGGTATTTCCTATAGAGATAAGAAAGCAGCAATGTCCTCATACAAGGCATGGATAAATCCTCATTTTGAATATTATGTACACCTCTGGTCATCCATGTTCAAGATAGATATATTCATCTGGAATGGATGTAGAGAAGCACTACTTGCATGATTAGGAGGTTGTGGAGCTGATCTTGTGAGGGAAGACGAAAAGAGTTTAACTTTTTAACTCAGCAAAATTAAGGCTGGGAAGGGATATGATTGCTCTCTATAAATAAATCAGGGGAGTAAACACACGGGAAGAAGAAGAGATATTTAAGCTAAAGGATCAAGAACAAATGGGTCTGAATGAATTTAGATTGGAAATAAGAAAAATATCTAACCACCAGAGCAGTCAGGGGTGGCATATTTTTCCAGTAGGAATAGTGAAGGCAAACAACCATCTTGGTTTCAAGAAGAATGAAGAAAAGCAATGGCAAGACATGGTTTCCATGACTCAGGAAGACATGCTTTTAAAATGAAGAATAAGGAGAGGAAGGAAAAGTGGGAATGGAAGAGGAAGAAACGAAGACTTCCCTCTCCTCTTCTTCCATCTCTTCTTCTCTTCTATTCTGGAATTTCTCTTCCAGTTTTTCTTCTAATTTTTTTTTCTTTTTTGTACTGTTGTGTCTCAAGTTTCTTAAACTACTTTCCCTTCCTTTTTTTATTAAAAGCACCCATTCTTTAAATATAAACAGAAAGCTTACAGACCTTCCCATGGCCCCTTACTTAGTGTTGTCTCACATGCCAATTTAAAGAGACACTAACAATATCTTATAAGCCAGAATAGATATGGGTACACACAGGAGGAAAGTAAGAAGTCAGAATCCTTTGTGATCAATTGGTATTTATTACTGACAGACAGATCTTGCAGTGACTTCTAGATTTGGCACACTGTGTTTCATAAAAAGGGGGTGGGGGAGGACTAGATCAGGGAAAAGGGAGGAAAAATTAGCAACTAATATTGATAGATTCAGAGCATGTACAAGGCATGTCTTGCTTCTGCCCTAACTACCTTAGGAGCTTTCGCTACACAGTGCACACAGCACTTGCAGTGGCTCTGATTACATTCTGGTAACTATACACCATTTGGACTCAATTCTGGGTGATGTTGAGCCCTTACAGATCTGGCTGATGCCAGTTAGCACAGTAGCTGCTCGGCACCTCTCAGGTGTTAAGGCAGAAAAAATGATATAGGACAGTTATTTGCACTCCAGTAAAATTGTACCTGCAATCAGATGGGATCAAAATCTCTGGAAATCAGCTTTAAAATATACTGACTTTATGACATTGACCCAGTCAGTTAACACAACAAGTATCCATCTCATATGAGACTGGCATCTTTTCTGACATATCCATTATCAGACTTTTTTTCTTCCATAGTAAGAGTACCATCATCCTATAAAATTTCTAATCCTGAGTTGGATTCCTAGCTCCATGAAAGTGAGAATGTAAGATGTGACTTCTCTTAGACAAAATCTACCACAAAATGCACTCACTTAAGGTCCATTTTAAATATTTATTTCAGGGACCTCTAGCACTGCCAAGTTACTTTAAGCCTAAATGCTGGAAGGAGGTATATAGGTTATTCTTCAGTCTCTTTAGCAGCCCACTCCCATGAGCTACATTTCAATCTTAGATGTCTTCATATAGGCTAAACGACAAAAGTATCCTTTCTGGTTTGCATGTGGAGAAAGCCTTTGGTAAGTACTGTGGTACAATATCTGCCTTGGAAGTAAAAGTGCATATTTTGCATAAACGGATTCTTTTAAGTATCTGTAAACATGAAATGGGGATCGCTTTTTCCAAGATCTCTCTTTGGCTTGACCTAAATTCCTATTTGATATTAATTTTCTCAGTGAAGGATGAATATAGATATTCTTGCCCTTATTCATTTTCAGACCTAAAAATCCTGAATCCATGCCATAATTTTTTATTAAATGTCATTCCTTAGTTATTTATTTATTTAGAAAAGATACTTTTGTGTTCCCTTGATCATTATTTTATGTTCTTTGTATCCTGAAAAAGTGTGTATTTGCTTTTGGTTAAACATACATGGATCAATAGAATACAGGTTAGCTGAGGTTACAGTATCATCAGCCAGTGAATAATGGCACAGAGAGTTTAGCATGTGCATAACTCAAAAAATTTAATTTTTTGTGTTTGTTATATGTCACGTTCAGTTATTTCAAGATAACTGAGGTCACACATCACAATTTTTTATCCAAAGTGCTTTACTTTGGTGGGGAGGGAGGACCAGAGA